CCCTTCCTTCGTCCCCCTCGTCCCCCACATGCATAGCAATGACCTCATCCACCGCCGTTCAAGTCTCAACAAAGCCGCTCACCCGCGCCCGCATGTCTCCACTATTGCTCTTCCTCCTCTTCATACTCATGTCTCTACTTATCTTCATCACACTCTCCCCCGATCCCCTCCCTTTCCGCACTCTTGTCACCCCTGCTTCAACCGTCCGCCTTCCCCTCTGCCCGCACATCCTCCTCTTCTCCGCTGCCCGCCACGGCTCTACATGGTTCATCGACTCGGCCGAGCGCTGCAAGTACAGCTCAAATCCTTTGCGCTCCAACCCCAACCGGGGCGACCACATCATCTACTCGAGGGATATTAACAAGAACAGCGAGCTATGGCACCCCGGTCGGGAAGGGCCCTTGCTCAACATTTCCGCAGAGGATGTCGCTGAGTATGTACGAACCACGGGGTCGGTGAAGGTCTTTCCGATAGCCATGGAAAAATCAGAGCAGGCAGTCCGCATCATTTTGGAGTCCATCAAGAGGAAGGATATCGAGCAACACGTCATAACTCCGGTCGTCATCCTTACCCGACGCCTCGACGATGCCCATAACAGCTTGCTAAATGCCAAGGAGAGCGGCGTGTGGAATAAACTACCGAGCGCCAGGGACGGTGTAGAGGGAGTGACGAAACGGACCGAGGTCAGCGAAGAAGACCAATACTTTCGGCAATACCGACGGAAAAGGCTGGAATATTTTCAAGACGTGAGAACACTCGTCAGAGACGTGGATGTGGTGAGTGCCGAGTTTGATTACGATGACGTTAAGGGGATGAAGAATATTGAAATTCAAGATGCAGGCTGCTACATTTCGAATTGTAACTTCGAGCGGATGGAGAGTTAGGGGGGAATATGTGAAGGCTGAAGCCGACTTCACCGTGTCATCGGTCGGAGTCGGTTGGAGCTCCATACTGCTAACTGTTGATTTGAGAGTGGGGCCTGGCGTTTGTGTAATACTGAATCGAAAAAGGTGAATCCTTCTCCGGGCTTCTAAGACTCGAGTCTTCTACGCCAGTGCGTCACAGCGATTGGTGGAGATAACGACGTGATCCGACAAAAAATGGAATGGACTTTGACAAGCGGGCCTCAAACCCCTACGCCATTGCTTCAAAGCGAACGCGAGTTAGCGTTGCTTACAAAGGAATGGATGTCCAAAATGTTGGGCTGGTCTGTTTCCCCATGTTAGCGCACTAGGTCTTTTCTTCCATTCAACACTGTTGGCACGTGATTGAGTAGAGTTGTTGTGACTGCCGCGAAGCATTTCAAGACTAGTGAGGTAACTACTACTAACATAAAACGCCCCTTTTTCGGACGTTGTTGTCCTCATTTTCCGATGGACAAGCATTGGCACATTTCGCCAACCCTCGCTGCACTAGAAGACGGCACACGATTGTGCAGAATTCTTTCTCAAAAAAATGGGTTGCATCTTCCAAGGTGCGCATTTAGTTGCACTATCCTCAAGTGTGTGTTACAGCGAAGAAGCCCTTTGGCACAAAAACGCACACAAGCCGTTCTTTCTCCGTCTGTTCCCCCGTTTTCAGAATATCGAATATCGCAAGTACTGAAACCGAAGTACACACTCATACACAGCTCTGGCTAGAGATATTGGTCTTGCGTCACGAAATACAGTGACCATTCGCCAGAGTGCATCGATATCCCAAACCTGTGTGCGTGACAATAATGTACCATTGGCACCGGCATTTGTGTCATGTGTGAAGATAGATGGTCGTTTACGGTTGGAGCTCCCGCGCACCCGAGATATCAGCGGTAGCGAGAGTACTCTTAACTACAAGTATCTATCGAAAAGTAAACAAAGAAAGAACAATATCAGAGAATAGACATGTGAGGGAAGCCCAGGGAAGGGCGTCCTGACGGGGATGGGTGGGCAAAAGAGAAATAGACATAGTCGAGAAGTCACGAGACTCTCACCCGGCCGTCGGCGATATGTAGGAGAGTGCACGCTCGGTCGAATGCCAGGTGTTGGCATGTCACTCGCTACTCCCTGGACAGCTTCACCCGCATACACAAGTGTATACAGACGCAACATTACTGTGCTACGGAATATCGTTGGATAATAGTAACTTCGATTAGTAACTAATGATTTTTGAAAAATCAATGTCACATTTTTCTATCGCAGTCAGGGAAACCCCATCCGTTCATACCCTCGCTATAGTGAGGGTATTACTATAGCCTATACTCGCTATAGCGAGGGTATACACATGTGAATTTACGCAGCTTTTCTATTTAACTGTGCGAACCGCCGATGAAGGGCCCACATTCTTTCCAGCGCCACTTGATGTCTCTTTGAAAATGAGGTGAGTCTCAAGACTCCACCTCAAATCAAAGCGCAAGACGAGTCTTTCTCGTAAATCGCCAGTGCGCTTCCCAGCAACGTGAGGCTCATCTGGCTTGCTGCTTCGCCTATAGCAATGGATTGTCTGGGTGTACGGACGCGCGCGCGGTAGGCAAGGAAAAGGGCACGACCTCAGAAAGTTGCTGAGATCGATTCCCCCAAGCTGGAGCTCAGCTTGGGATTTTATGTTCAACTCGGACCCCGACCGGACCCCGACCGGACCCCGACTTGGACCGAACCCTAGCCCTATGTTGGCGGGCCGAACGTGGGTTGCTCTCCTTACTAGCGCACCCTGGGTAGACAAACTGAGAGGGCCGTTCCTAACGAACAGTTCGCGGTGCCAGCACCCGAGCACCCGGACATTTGGCATGAATGGATTGGTTGAACGGGAGTAAAAGCATTTCCAATAATTTTTTCAACCAATACATTCATGCCAAGTTTCAGGGTGCTCGGGTGCTGGCACGGCAAACTCTTCGTTAGGAACGGCCCTCAGGGCCGTTTGATTGCAGGGTAACCCTTACTACTTTTTCCAAACCCTTACTAATTTTTCTAAGAACTCAGGTGTCGCAACATACAGTAGTCTCTCTTTAAAAGAATGACCCGCAAAGGAATTTTCTTTTAGTAGAATACATACAGTGTTTCCAGTCCCGGGAATGGCCAAAACAACCCTATTTTCATGACATTTATTCATATGCGACATAAGAATATAGTATTTCGAATGTTGCTTTATCCCATGGAGTACTGTATGTAGAAGGGAACGTATTTTGGTCCTCTAAAACGGCCAAACAGATGTCCGAGATCTGGTTGGTATAATGCTCAGACGGATGTTCCGAATTTGGCTGTACTACGCTACCTTCGGTGCATCAAAAGAGATCTCTCAGCTGCCAAAGTGCAAACGCAGAAGCAAACGAGAATTGATTCCTTCTTTTCAGGGGTCAGTAACCTTGCTAGACAAGCATCATAACTGCCGCCATAGGAATAATATTCCAGAATATTATTCTCTTTACACGAATAATAATGTCCTTTCCCGTCCTCATTCTTATAAAGAGAGATTACTGTATAGTTAATTGCGTGCACTATATGCAGTATGTCATAACACTTCCAGCCACCGTCCTAGCTCGAAACGAGGACACGGGGCAAAGTCTTTTACCGCATACGCACAATACGGTATTGTCGCAATAGTATTGCGGCAATACACACCATCTCGCTATTGTAGTTAACATGTGTTACTGTACGGTAGTGCACTCTACAGTAATGGCAAACCGATTACCTCTCGAGGTAGTTGATACTGTATTGCTAAGATTCTCATATATCACCGCAGTCGTTCAGCAACTACACCAGAACCAATCTCCAATGACTTGCACTTCCGCTCTGCAACAAGCCTCATAGCATAATAAGAAGAAGAAAATCTCACAAGAAACCAGCATGTCTATTTTCCACAAGTATTATCAACCTTATTGTGTCATTTGCGTAAATGCAAATGGACTCATCCTGATGGGCTCAGCGAGCCAAAGTCATTTACATCCATTTCGATACCAAGTCGCTGAGACTATTGACTTATTCCCCCCAATTTTAAATACATGACAGAGTGAATCTTCTCTTCATACATGCCGTATTCTCTGTTGCGTGCAATTCAATTTTAAAAGGAATAGAAACTTCATCTGAGAAGAGGCTTTCGTTAAAATGGATGTGACAAGCATTTTCCAACGGCGGAGCGGTACCAAGAGTATCGACAACGTCCGCAGTGCGTATGGTACAGTACCCTTGGGTATGTTGTAAACTTTACTAGGCCGAGGCTGGCTTGAATGCTCGAGCGAAATATTGGAAAAAAAGGAAAATTCTAATAACGCCAATCAAAATTCTCATACTGTAGTGGACAGTACGGCAACTACTGTGCTTTCACTACTCTCGAATTAACAGGCGTAGGGATCACAAGATTGCTCGGAGATGGTTCTTCTACTCTGGTGTTTAGAGTGTTGTGAGTAGCGGGCGCGAGACGCATGGGGAGTGGCTCGAGTGTGTTTGACGGTGCGTGATGAGGGGCTACGCACCAGCATGGAAGGATGTGCACGTACAGTACACAAGAGCGCAAGTGCTCTGCTGTGAAGGCTGACCAAGGACTTTCATTCGTAACTCGATGATCGTGGGTTGCCTTTCTCAGCTCTGTCCTCAGCTTTCTTTTCAGTACGGTATGTACGCTATCATGCGCAACCCGGAAATTTTCGCCATATTTTCTGTCGGCGACCGACACGGACAGTCACAACATCTCGAAGGATGGTCCGTTACCGACACTACGTATTTCAGCGTTTCCAGTGAACTAAAATGTATCGCAAGAATAGTAGTATGTGTGACCTTGTCGAATGACATACACAATAGTCACGGCTTTAACATGCAGGTGATGAATGGCTTGCTGGGAGGTCAAGTTTCGGCATCGTCCACCTCCACGTCAGTCATAACCTATTACAGACATCCAGAAGGGCTACGTTTCTCTAAAAAGATGTATGACTCTTATGTATTCAAGACGTGCACGAAATGATTGCCAAAATTAGCTTTCAACTCCGGTTAGGTATCGTTTGGGGCACTATTCTGTTCTGCGTCTTTCCCAAGTGTTTCCGTGGCCACAAAGCACGATCTTCCGCTTCTGAGGAGCATTCCATTTAAGATTTATCCAGATTCCAGGCTGGTAAATGGCAAGGTTGTCAAGAAACGCATCATCACCCTGTGTGCATATTTATCATGCTGGAGTATCTTTTACTTTGATTTGACGTTGACCTACCGCCTGTCGCATGGAAAAACTAGAGAGAGCTAGAGACAGAGAGAGCTAGAGACAGAGAGAGCTAGAGACAGAGAGAGCTAGAGACAGAGAGAGCTAGAGACAGAGAGAGCTAGAGACAGAGAGAGCTAGAGACAGAGAGAGCTAGAGACAGAGAGACAGAGATAGAGGGACCGAGACAGAGAGGGACCGAGACAGAGAGGGAGTGCTACTTTGCGATACATTCACCAAACGATATCCCCGATCTGAGAAGCCATCAATATCGCTCTCATTCTGCAGCGCACACAGCATAACTGCATAGAAAATAGATGGATTGGAACGGAACTTCTGTGCCAGCGCATAGAAGGCAATCCTCTTCCGAAAAAGATTCTCCACTAATGCCGTCAATTGCGTTGAATCAGCATGGTTGGAAATGGTGCGGATATGGACAACCAGCAGTACTTTACTTTTACAGCGAAGAACTGCAGAATTTTCATATTTAAAACAAGCCAGGGCTTGGCCGCGTAGCGTTGTTCCCTTGTTGCATCGTGTCTCAGGCGATGCTTCGATTTTTCCAGGGAGGAAGACCGTTTCGATAAAGGCTGATCTTATCCATTTTTGAAATGAGCATAATGCAGGAGTCAGACAATGATAAGAAGTATGCGAGCTGTACAACATCATACATTTCCCTTATTTGAGTGTGGCCTCCAGAAGCTGATACAGAGTTGCCAGCAGAATTGATTTTCTACAAACGTCTTCAAGATCTTAGGCGTGAACCAATTGAAGGGCGCGTAATGGCCTCATCTGATTTTCAAAATCCCCTCACTCCGACATAAAGTCTGTCTTCTAGAAGAACTCTGGTCAGCATGGACTAAGAACTCTTTCACTGCTGTGCAGAATTGTACCCAAGGATACTGTAAAAACAAGATTCGCAAGCGATGGTTCCCTCCGATTGTAATGGTATCAATGACGAAACAGTTGTCGACTTGAAATCACCTCATCACAGCCTTCTATCATATCTGTCTCTTACTGGCAGCGCTGGAATGACCATTTCTGCATGCGAGGTCACCTTTGCAGCTCTAAAAAGCACCCTTAGGCCTCTTGCACATCTTCCAGAAACAGGATGCATCTCCATCTTTCACAATTCTCATATCTATTCGCCGTCTTATGTACCAGTTCGATTGATATCGTTATTCGAGTGCCCTTTCTGTTTTCGAACGAACACGTGCTTTATGCCCACACTGACTTTTTGATCTAGACCAATCTAGACATCAAGCATGTCTTGAAAACACACGACCCATGATTTTCAAAGATGGAAGCACCTCGCTTCCCTCTGCGAAAGAAGACTGTAGAAACAGATACAACAATTGCGCTCGTTGTAGAGAAACGTACATTAACAGCTCTCCATTTGACGCAAATTCATCGTCTTCTATGTCTTCAAGAACGGGTCTCCGTGTTCAATCTTGAAGTCTCTGGGTTGCGACTGCTCTATATAAACTCTTTCGCAGCGACTCGGTCACAATCTCGAAGCACATCTACCTCCACAAAGCACCACACCCTTCAGAAGCCTCTTTCTATCATGATTGCCAAGTCTACCCCCATGCAGCTCTTCGTCTTAGCCCTCCTCCTCGCTGCAACCATCTGTAATGGCACAGGCAGACCCACTGGCTTCCCCCCTAGGCGTTTCCTTGAGAAAAAGTTTGCCGACATCGACGGCAAGAAGATGGCATATGTCGAAGTTGGCACAGGCGACCCGATCGTCTTCCTTCACGGCAATCCAACCTCTTCCTTCCTGTGGCGCAACGTCATGCCGCATCTCGAAGGGCGCGGACGCCTCATAGCCCCTGACCTCATCGGCATGGGCGACTCGGACAAGCTCGACAACAGCAACAAGTACAGGTACACCTTCCTCGAACACAGCAACTATCTTTACCGGCTCTTTGAGATAATTGGCGTGAAGGAGCGGGTGACGTTTGTAATTCATGATTGGGGCACCGCACTAGGCTTCCACTGGGCGTATCTGAATCGTAAAAATCCTAATTCCGTGAAGGGGATCGCGTTCTTTGAAGGCGTTGTGTCAACGTTCGAACGGTACGGCGACTTTCCAGAGGAGATCGAATCGTTTTTCAGAGCGTTGCGAAGCCCGGCCGGTGAGCAGCTGGTTCTCGAAGACAACGCATTTGTGGAAGACCTCATTCCTAGCGCGATTCTGCGCAACTTGACGAAGCCCGAGTTTGACGAATATCGTAGGCCGTTCCTGAAAGCGGGAGAGGACAGGAGGCCTATGCTGACATGGCCAAGACAAGTGCCCATTGAGGGGGAGCCTGCGGAAGTCGTAGCCATTGTGAAGAAATATTCTAAATGGCTGGCGAGATCAGAGTTGCCGAAATTGTTCATTGACGGAAAGCCGGGATTGATATCGCCAAGCATGAGGGCAGTTGTTAAGAAGTGGAAGAATACGGAAATGGCTGCAGTAAAGGGGATTCACTACTTGCAGGAGGACTCGCCAACGGAGATTGGCAAGGCGATAGCGAAATGGCTTCCTTAGTGTGGTGGCCTGAGATTGCTGGAAGTAATGGGGTGTGGTTTCAAAGGAGCCGTGGAATGGTTGCATTGAGGTGGCGCACATGAAGTTGCGAGTCGTTGAGATCAGTGTTGGCTGCAGGATAGCACGAAGATAGTCTACGGTTTTCTTGCATGACCAAGTCGCCATTCTCGTTCGTTTAATCGACAAAAGGTCTCAGTCCGTGCAGGGCAGGCCAAGCCTACCCTGGTCCATTGGATATGCCCCACTACGGCCAACTTTGAAGATGATGTTCTTAAGCAGATTGATATTTAGAGAGAGGTAATTTCGTGTTATTGACTCGCAAAATGGAGAAAGTCGTATTGGACACCACTTCTTAACATACATGCCCTCGGCCACAGCATCTTGCAGAACATCGGCATTGCAGTTTTGAACGCACTGAAAGATTAAGAATCTAATGGAGTTCAAATACCCGGTTGTTTTCCTCGAAACGGGCGTTTGGGTTTCAAAGTTACCATAGCAAAACGTTTGAAGGTTGCTCGTTAAAGCTTCTTTGCCGGGCATTAAACAATCTGAAAGGATATACAGTTTTCCCTACAATCAATCCTTCGGTAACGCAGAATTCATGTGTGGTGGCGTGGGTATCTTTATTCTTCTTATCGAGAAGGCACAAGCCTGGAAAAAGGAAGTGGAAAAGTAACCTCATCTCGGTCATTTGACCGATATGAAGTCAAAAGTTATCTAGACACTAGCACTTACCCGTGACGGATGATTCCAACATATCTATCAGATATTATGTCAACTCAAGAGACTTTGCACAACACACGGATGACAAAACAATATTTTGTTGAAAGAGGAGGTGTCAATTTAAATAGCAAATTTGAAAAGTCGCTTTGGATGGCATTTTCTTAAATTTCTTAACGCAGTTGTACGCGGCAATAAAATCTTACAGAACACCAGGATGGCAGTTTGAATACACAGAAAGATGGTAAAATTTAAGGAAGACTGAGTACGCAGTTACCTTTTTCGAAGTTGTTACACATGCGGTTTAAAGTTTAAATCGCATGTGTAACAAATTAAACTTTAAAGGGTTTCCAGGCATTTCTAAAAACGTCTAGAAAGAACACATGAAATTCTCCCTTGTCTCTTTTCTTCCACATGTCAGAAGTCAAACGTACGGTAGCGAGGGCATCTTTCTCCTTGCTGTCGAGAAAGCGGAAGTCAAGAAAAAATTTGAAAAGTGACCTCATGCAAGTATGAGGGACATTGGTGTGATGGACACTACCTCTCGAGAGGTAGGGTACGTACAGTATCAAGAATGATGTCAGCGGAATATCATAAATTTACAGAAGGTACTGTACTGTCCGGGGACTAACCCCGGGACAGTGGTCCTTTAATAGTGGACCCGATTAGTCCGTTTGGTGAAAAGTGTCACACGTGGGAATCTCCCGTTGAAGGTCGATGTACCTTCAGGTAGAGGATGTTTTCCCGTGTTTATAAGAGGGCAACAGCACAACAAGAAAATAAAGGGGACGACCCACTTTCGCATTTCTGAATAGACCTCTCGCCCCTTTCGCATAGCGTACACCCTACCTACCCCCTTACACCATCTTCCCATCTCTCTTTCCCCTAAGCATACGACATGGTACTCTTGTGGAGGGGTGGCAAAGAAGAAGGCTCCCTGTCACATTTTGACGGGTCGAAGCCGGCCGACGTCCAAAAGTTCTTCTTCGTCTTCGAGAATGTTGCCACCTCTGGCAAGTCGGACGGAGAAAGGGCATCTGAACTACTTCGCTACCTCGAGGAGGATGCATTCGACTTCTTCTATCGAGCATTCATCAAGAACAGGGACATCAGTGCAGATGGCTCCGACTACCAGAAGATCAAGAAGGCCTTGGTGGAGCGGTTTGCCCCGGTTGAATCACCTGAAGATGTGATTTGGGACGTGATAGCCGCTTGCCTTTCTTTCAGGGACCTCAGTGGGTCCCGTCGAAACTCAGACCGTCTCTACGAGAAGGCGGGGTATAACAACGAAGCAAAGTTCGGATTACTTTGCCACTCCGTTATGGAGCATCTCGATTCGTCCTAATTTGCCATCTATCGGGGTGCGAAGACCTACAATTGTAGGTGATGATCGCATCGAATATGGCCTTAAGGCCATATTCGATGCGATCATGGACTTCTCGTCTGGTCGCTGCGCCTTTCAAGCGCCGGCGAACTCCTTTAGCAATTCGCGCTACCAGGGGTCAGAGAGCTCGCAAGGTACGTAAGAGCCGAGAGGTCAAGTTGGATCGAAAAAGGTCATGATGCGGTCAAACGCTCCCTCATCTCCACTCGAGACGAAGGTTGATGCCTTAAGGAATCAGCTGGCCGACCGTTTCCCTCATGATCAAGAAGAACCATTCGAGGGATGAGGCCACAGCGTTCCGCCCCGTCCACGATCGTACCTGCTCATATTTCAAGCGCCCGGGTCATGGCGCTAATAGATGCGACGTCAATCCGCATAGGGACACGAAATGCCCTCGTTGCGAAAAATATGGTCATTCGGAAACAAGGTGTTGGGCTAGAATTGGTCCACAGAGGAGAGGTAGCAGCGCCTACTCTCCTAAGAAGACCCAAGCCGATGCTGCCGTGTCGAAGACACTAGGGGGCTCCAGAGGTAGACAAGTGAGTGTCGTGACGCACGACGAACTTCCCGCTGCTGAGGAGTTAGTGGCATCGGTCAAGAGAAACGCTGATGCAGAGCCGGTGGCCAAGGCGCAAAATGATGGTGGCAGTGAGCCAATCCCGTCCCTTCTCAACCCGCGTAAGTACTGGACCCCGAACCAAATGCGGAAACCTCCTAAGCCTGGCCGTCGAACAAGAAAGAAGAGGACGAGTAAGAAGAATGCCGTCCAAGAGAACTCGGGAAAGTACGATGTGGTCTTTCCCTCGCGAATGCTTCCTCTGGTTTGACTTTCGGTCAACTGATTCGAGGGGATGGCGACGAGACCAAGAAAGAGATCCATCGTTTGTTCAACAGTCGCCCAAGACGCCCCGTAGCCGCTTCGATCGGTATTTTGCCGAAACGTCTGAAAGTAGTTTTGGTACAAGTCTACGGAACACAAATGAGGGCTTTATTAGACTCTGGAGCGATCCCTATTGTTATGAAAGCTTCTGTAGCATCTAAGCTCTCTTTGTCTCCAAAGCCGACCTCGACGAAGATTACGGTCGCCAATGGGCAAAAGACAACCTGCTTGGGTTCCATCGAGGACGTTCCCGTTTCGTTCAAGGGTACCGTAACCTCACTAAACTTCTTAATTGTTGAAGGATCCCCGGTTGACATCTTAATCGGGTATCCAACTCTCGAAGAACTTCAAGCCTGCATCGACCTCGGTTACCAGTCTGTTAAAATGATGATTGGAAACAAAACCGTGAGAACGAGTTTGGAGTGTGACCAAGTAAGCTCTATCGTGGCAGGTTCGGAGACGGATAGTGAAGACTTCACTTCTGATGTCGAGTCGCTCGTCGCAGAAAGTTCGTCGGAAGAAGAGACCTATGTGGTCGCCATTCTTAGCGATAACCCTTTCGAGCAAGACGCGACTGTGGACGGAGCGATGAAAGAAGAGGAAGAAATGGAGTCACCCGATTCCAATGCCATCAACAAGACAGTGAGAATTCTTCGGGAGAGACATGCTCATCTCGACAGTGAAGCTCAAAGCATCGTCGAGACCGCATTGATGGGTAAGAGTATTGTTGCCACATCTCTCGACGACCTTCGGCCTGCTGAAGTCACGATTAAGCACCATTTCGAGTTAGATGATACGAATCCGATCTACACTCGGCAAGGAGTATGGCTCCGTTGCATAACGAAATTGTGCGGAAAGAGCTCGACAAAATGCTGGAAGCAGGAATCATCACCCCTTCCAGCTCTGCATGGTCTTTCCCGGTGGTCATCGTATCCAAAAAAGATGGTAATCCGCGCTTCTGTGTTGATTACCGTAAACTGAACCAGGATGAAGGTAGACCGATACCCTTTACCGAAAATCGAGGAGATATTTGACGAATTGGAAGGGAGTACTTACTTCACTTCTCTAGATTTGTTCAGCGATTACTGGCAAATTCGAATGGCACAACAATGCAAAGAAATGACTACTTTCGTCTGCCGCTACGGCACGTATAAGTTCGAAGTCATGCCCTTTGGATTGATGAATGCGCCTTCGACATTTCACAGAATGATGGATACAATCTTTCGCGGAGTGCCGTTTGTGCGTGTATACCTCGATGACGTTGTAGTGTTCTCCAAGAATCTAGAAGAGCATCTTCGGCACCTGCAGCAAGTATTTCATGTGATTGATGAGGCTGGCCTTTAGCTTAAGTTGACGAAGTGTAACTTCGCTCAAGCGAAGATCAAGTTGCTTGGTTATGTTGTCGACAAGAGCTGGATCGCTGTAGACCTGGGCAAGGTCGAAGCAATCTGGAATGCACCGATCCCGACCACTACGACAGAACTTAGGAGTTTTCTCGGGTTAACAAGCTACTACCGTCGTTTCATTTACAAGTATGCCGATATCGCTGCTGTACTCCATGTGGCTACATCCGGAAATGCCCGATTGAAATGGACCGGAGAGATGCAAAAGCCTTTGATGAACTATGTATTAAGTTGACTTCCCCGCCCGTCTTAGCTTATCCAGACTTCGACACGCCTTTCATCGTTGAGACAGATGCGTCCTCGGTCTCCCTCGGAGCTGTGTTGGCTCAAAAGAAGAATGACGCGAAGATACATCCCATCCAGTACGCAAGTCGTACTATGAATATATCTGAGCGCAAGTACTCTGCTTGTGAGCGTGAGGCGCTTGCAGTCATCTTTGCTTTGAAGACATTTCGTGTATATGTGCTTTCGTCTACACCTTTCAAATTGATTACTGTTCACCAGGCTCTTAGTTACGCCTTTCGCAAGAAGGACATCCACGGTCGTTTGGGTCGGCGGATAGACTTCTTAGCTGAGTACGACTTCACCGCGGAGTATCGACGTGGCTCGGCAAATAGTGCAGCTGACTATCTTTCTCGTATTCAGCCCGAAAATGGAGGCGACTCTACTGGCCTAGAAGAGGGAGAACTTGCCTTGGCCATAACCACGCCAGTCTACTCTACGGGAGATGTAGAAGAGTCTTGTGGAGATATCCTGTCATATCTGCAAGGCGAAACTCCGGTGGGGTTGGATGACCACAGGAAATCTCGCATGAAGACTAATGCGAAGAATATCTTGTGTGAGAGTCTAAGCCTTTCCGCTGTACCATCCGTGGTCTTCATATTGTTGTCCCAATCTCCTATCGTGAGAAGGTACTGAAGGGTTTCCATGACGACATTGGGCACTGGGACTTGAAGACTACACGCCCGATTCTCAAGTACAAGTCCTATTTGCGCTTTCCTATTTCAAGCTTGTGTGAAGTTTTCTCTATTGACTTTTCGGGCCCCTTCCCTGCCACCTTGTTCGGAAACCGCTTCGTGTTAGTTGCGGTCGAACATCTGACAGGATGGCCAATTGCGACAGCCACCGCTGATAGTACTGCGCAAGTAGTCCTTGACTTCGTCAAGAGAGAAATTATGTACTCATTCGGCCCTCCGCGGACCATCGTCTCTGAAAATGCAACCAGCTTCACAGCCTCGGCCGTTTCTAGCTTCATGGCTCAGCACGGCATCACATGGCGCACAGTTCTCGCCTACGCTCCCATGTCTAATGGTAGAGCGGAGAGAATGGTTGGAACGCTGAAGGCTGCCGTTCGAAAAACAGTTCTGGAGACTGGAATGGATTGGGAAAAAGCACTCACTCAAGTTCTATATGGATATCGCCGACGCGCCATGAGAAATGGCGGATCGCCTTTCGAATTAAGGCATGGGGGCCCACCTCGGATGGACCTCGGCGCCGAGATGGGTGCAAGTGTAGTTGTTCCCTCCTCGGACGTCCATCGCTGTTTGGAACTCCTAGCTGGGTCTGTTTCACGGGCAATCTGCTACGGAGCTTCAGCAGAGAAAGGATTGTTGTTGCGTCCTCTCACTTCTTCCAAAACGGAGATGAAATGCTCGTCGCTCGAGGGACCGCTTTCGGGGGCACAAAATGGCCTGCATTCGTATCGAAGTTCTACGGACCATGCAGAATCCTAGAAGTACGTCATCCTTGCTATGTGTTAGGGTCTCGTCATGGCCGAATATCGAGGCAACCTATGCATGCTCACCGACTCGTACCCTATCGTGGGAGGAAATACGAACGGCCCACCATGGCGTGTGGATAACTCCGTGCTGTAGTAGAATGATTAAGTGCATTACCTCTTAACGATAAGCATGACGCATGAACCCCTTTAATGCATTTAGAAACTAGAAACTAGAAGGAAAACCACTGTATACAACACGGAACGCAACTTGGCTACTTTGATTTGCTGCTTTTAGGATGAATCTTTCGACGTTTGCAGCGATTGTTTGTGGATGCGTGGACAAGACAAACCTCTCGCATCTCGTGAATCTCAAGCAAACTAACTCCATCATCAAGACAGAGCTGAAGGGCTTCCAGAGAAAACGTGAGCGGATATGGTTCCATGCAGTCCAATATGATTCGCTCGGTCAAAGATACACACACGCTATACAGCTTGTTTGAGCTTCCTTCAAGAATGACGAAAAAAAATCCTGAACGGATATTCAGAAGTCTGTCCTGAGTCCGTATGGATCCGAAAGGATGCTTGAGAACCACCTCGTTTTGCTTGAGATGCTTATTGGCGTCGCTCAGATTGTGAATACGCCGAGGAGCCTGTCATGCTGCACGAACGAGTTGGAGTTGTCTCTGAAGTGCCCCTAATAATGGGAAGCTAACCGAGGGGCACCAAGAAGATGTATAGAGTTGCATATAGCCGCCGGAATGCAAATATTCGTCTTGTCCTGATATAGAGTCCCACCCAAACGAGGTAAATGGAACAAGCATGTGGAAGAACTTACCGGTCGTGCCCCAGACACAGACATCAACAGAGAACGCCCTGGATTCTTCCGAAACCACTCATCGATGACAATATAAGCTGAAATTCGATCTCGGCCATTAACGTAGAAAGTTGAGTTGGGGAGAACGTGTTCAGAAGATTGATCACCACCACAGACTTGAAGATTGTAAAAAAGAATAGCATGCTTCGACTTGTCCTAATGGCTGACCGCAATGTACTTGTCGTCCTCAAAACAGATTGACTCGATATTGTAGTGCAATGCGCCTGTCGGGCAGAGACCGCGGTCCGATGGTCCAGCAAAAACAACAACAGCAACAAAAAGAAGAACTGCCGATGACACAGCGCTACGGAGTGTCCGACTCTCCCTTCTCCGTTTAAACGAGCTTGCGACTCGTAGTAGCTCAGATCCCTGTTAGGGGGGCACAGAGAAACAGCCCGGCCCGGGACCGGTGTGGTAGAGACTTGCGAAGAGAACTGCTCAACGAGTGTGGGGTGGGGCGCGTACGTAGATACCCCGGTTCCACTGGGTTGTAAGGCCAATGCTCGTTGAGCTTCTTCGACACCTTGTAACGCGACAAGGCCTTCGACGGGGGCGTCGCAACGCAGCCCGACGGGATGAAATGAAAGTAGCAGCGCTACGTCAACTGTTCCGCCCGATGGCTCGAAACACCTACACCGGTTCGGTCGCAACCGAGGCCGATGGCACCAACACTGGCTCGTAACACGACGGAGCCCTTCGAGGGAGACGTCGTTGGAACGGTCTCCGTCGGAAAATGAGTCACAGTAGCAGCGCTACGTCAACTGTGCCGCCCGATGGCTCGAAACACCTACACCGGTTCGGTCGCAACCGAGGCCGATGGCACCAACACAAGATAAGGGAAAAATAGGTAGAATTAGAGATAGAAAAGGATAGGGAAATAAAAGAAAGAGAAAAGGGAACCCCGAGCGATAGAGGATGCCGTAGGCTTAGGTAAAAGGGAGCGTCTTGGTAGAGACGGACTTCGACCAAGGCGACATTCAACTCCGGCAACTCGGGTTACCTTTACTGACTTGGTCGTCAGAGGGCTAAGGTATATATCGCCCCGCCGGAGCCAGTACAGTAGCTCGCGGCGCTAGATCCTAGATCTAATCTAGTGTCAGCAAAATTAATGCCAACTAATTAACCAAATAAAATGAAATAATTAAAAATTAAAACTGTGCAATTATTCACACGTGTGTCCCCCAACCCGGACTACTTTTCATATCCAAATATTTTCCTTTCTTTTCACCCCCCTTCTTAGGTGCGTATTGCTCTACAGATATCCCACGAGTCCTCGTCAATACGATCATAGGTGCGGCATCCTTGAGTGACTATGTCAGATCAATGAGGGAAAGTTCATCCATAAGAATTCTGCGGTCTCCTCTCACGCCTAAATGGATCATGATATGTCGTCCGAAGAGCCGCACCATCTCGGTCAGGTCAAGATCATATCTCCTATGCTGCAACCCAACGCGAACGCGGTACGGGTACGGCTCAGTGCCTTCAGTGCTCTTAGAGAGCTTCTTAACATCACGTCTTTTCGATAATTTCCACATCATAGTCTCCCGAGCATCCTGCTCTTCACGACAAAGCCGGGCTGCCTTCGTCGCTATCCGCTTCGGCGGAGCTTTGCCGCCCGTGCTCCGACGCGCGGTTTGCTTCGTCTTCGCCATACCAGTGAGATCCTATTGCAGCGGGCAGACTCGGGGATTGAAACCCCACCTGAGCACCGCTACACCAGCAAGCAGACTAAGTATCTCTGGGAGGGAAGAGCTCGAATTTCTAGTCGCTCTGCGCAAGGTCTTCGCGGGATTAATGAAAAATCACAGGTAGTATGTGCGCTCAAGTTGTGTGAACAATGGATTAATGTTAGAGAAAAATACTTACAGTGAGGCCCCAGGCGTACACGTGGCAACGTGGAGCGATTGGGGGAGTGGTGTCGATGGTGACGCTAAATTAAGTCACTTTGGAGACGGTTGTGAAAGTAGGCGGCCCGGTGGTGACCCCGGCAGAGCACCAGGGACGACACGGAGGGCACTCCTTATACGTTGTATCCCGCCCCGGTTTGGGTCTGGGGAGGAAGTCGTGTCAGCATAATCTCAAAATTTTTCAGGAGATACTGTACTGTCCGGGGACTAACCCCGGGCCAGTAGTCCCTTAATAGTGGACCCGATTGGTCCGTATGGTGACAAGTGTCACACGTGGGAAATCTCCCGCTGAAGTTCGATGTACCTTCAGGTAGAGGATGCTTTCCCGTGGCTATAAGAGGGCAACAGCACAACAAGAAAATGAAGGGGACGACCCACTATCGCATTTCTGAATAGACCTCTCGCCCCTTTCGCATAGCGTACACCCTACCTACCCTCACCTTACACCATCTTCCCATCTCTCTTTCCCCTAAGCATATACCAAATGGGAAGATAGCTCCGTCTTATTACAGTGGGTACCACGATATAAGAGCACCCCATGCCAACCTCTTCATACTGCTCTTAATCCGAGGTTGCTACTATTCAAGAATCGCGCACAGGAGGGCCCATTTTACTCCTGAACGCTGTAGCATCTTACCAATAAGCTGTTGCCTGGACTCGTGCTGCGACCAATTCCAAACCGCTTCATCCCAGAGGAGGCGCTGGCGCCATTTTGAAGACAACGCGCAGCCTCGGCTATCTCTTTCGACGAAAGGCGCTTGCGCCTCTTCAGCGAGCCGTGAGCCAACGGTGGAAAGTGAGACGTCATTTTGGACCACCGTATTGATCCGTGCGTCGGAGAAATGGAACAGGCGGACTGTGGGCGGGACTTCTGAGATGCGTTTGAAATGCCAGCCGAGAAAAAGCCTGTGTGATTGGAATTACAGTGTTGATGGTGCTTGAAGTTATGATATCGTGCCCAGCGAAAATGGTCCTCTTACTGTGAGGTCGTTCTTATTCAAAGTGCTCTTATCGGGACACCCCTGTATACGTTTACAAAGGGCAAGTCATCATCCACTACTGCTTGTCATTACAGAAAAGAGGACAAGCGCCCTCTTCGCCCTTTCGATGACAACACGCATACCTGTGCACGTGTACACGGGTCACATATATGGAGAGATTCGTGTCATTGGGAGCTCGCAATACGGGTGGGTTTGTTTCCCGCCCAACAACTCTCACGCGATTCACTCAAATTAGAGGCCACGATGTAATCACATCAAGACTGTGCGCAAGCAACCAATTCCCAAAGGGGTTTCGGTATTGAGAGATGATTCGCTGCTGATTGGACCGTTCAGGAGCATAAGACAGTACGGTACTATTTAATTGAATTCGCAGTCAACTTTCGGTCTACGTCTGGAGAGGAGATTAAGGCGATCACTATGAAGAGATACATTCTGGGTGTGCAAAGAGGGTTGAAGTCCGTGTGGGGCTACAATGTGAAATTGCTTGAAGGTGATGTCTTCAACTGCCGAGAAGAAGGTCTTATGGCTGTGATAGACATCACATTCAGCTTGCAGCAATCCAAAGGAGTGGTTGCTGAAAGCCACAATGTGCTTTCAAAAGAAGATGTCACCAAGCTGTACGACTCGTCCCTGCTCGACCAAGCTACTCCACTGGCGTTTCCAGCGTGTATGATTTTCAGTATCGCATTAATAACAGCGATGTGTCCTTGTTCTTTACTACTTTTGACAATTGCACAGGTCCAAAAAATTATCTGTGGCGGGGAGCTAGTGTGGAAATTTTGCGGAGTTATTGGCAGCCGCGTAGATGCATCAGAAAAGACGGTGGGAGGGTGGACGGCTGTCAAAGACAAGCCTCAAGAGGTGTGCGTTTAGAACAGGAGCTGTGTAGATGGAAAGCTCATGTTTTGAGGATACGGAAGACTATATGCGTGTTCGCACTGTGAGGGGTTGCGGATGCCACATTTTTGGCTGTCAATCCTCGTGCAACGACGTTTGACAAATTTGGAACGCCAGCAACTGGGTCGAAACGCATTCGCGCGCACCGTTGGGGCGGTTTGTAAGCATGAGGGAATAACAGGAAGTGGAGTGAAGTGAGGAATGACCGTGCGTGGGTTGAGAGGCTCTATTAAAACTTTTCTTTTTGCGGACGGTTAAAATGATGTGAATGTGGCGATGAGGACTGGACAACGTGATCTATCATCACTGATGAATTACCGCAATTTAAGGGGTGCCCATGGTATTCTGATCCAGTATCGCAGGGATGCTCGAAGAGAGCTCGCGGTAGACTAACAGCCTGCACTTCCACGCCGGTGGGGCAGATCAGCGCTAATTGCGAGCGGGAAGTCCTTCCGGTCTGGAAGGGCGCTGGAAGCTAAGCTTCCAGTTTGGAATATTTACTTACTGTTGGTTGTATCTGCGTTTTCTGTAGTGTCTGTTCTTCCTCATCTCTGGTGGAGCTACAATTCTATTATTAAGTACGGGTCTGAGTGTAAGGTCTGTGCTCATGGTGAGGGGAGTCTTCGTTACATTATGCAGTAGTCACCTGTCTCGTTCTGATGCAATCCGGAGTTGCACGTCCTTCTTGGTTTCTTGCTACAATGGTGAATACCTCCTATCTTACAGTATTACCCCATCTTTCTTGATTCCGCATAAATGATTCAGATATCTTCACACTTCCCCTCCCCTTCTTTTTTTAATGAATCAACGTGTTATCCTCGTCGAGCTTACTACGTGTTACTCAATGGGATGGTTGATTTTGTTGGTTTGAAGTAATGTCGTAAGGGCACTGTTTGCACCTCTTTTGGTAAGGGTATCAGCGGGATTGTGTATACTCTTGATGAGACCGATGTTTGAGATAATCATTACGTCGTATGCCTCCCTTGTAGATGCAATATCTGCCATGATCCGCTTTTCGGTTGTGTACTTCTTTCTCGTGAGAACATCGAAAAGTATTTTCGAATCTGTCAACATGAGCAATGGTAATGGTCTACCCATGATTCTTTGTAAGTCATACCTGATAATAAAGGAATTGTCAAATCCATCCGCGAAAGACAGAGCTTCAGCTGCCATGCTCGATCTTGCAACACGCTTGGACTTGTGAGAGGAGTAGTGTATAATACATCAGTGGTTGAACTTGTCTGCTAAAAGTATTATGAAACACAGCTGACTTCTGTAGTCATGATTGTTTTGAAAGGAGTCGGTGTACGTCACAATGAAGAGTGAGTTAAAATCAAGCTTGGTGTATGAAACCTTAATGTGTGGCGTTTTGTGAAGGTGTGCTACAATTTTGTTAATTAAAATGCGAGATTCCTTAGAGAAAAGACTTTCCGCTATCTAGGTCGCCATGGACACCGCACAAACAATATCAGGACGTGAGTGAACTATCCACAAACGTTTGGCTCTCAAGGATGTGTACTGGGCAAATCCATCGTCCGTTGATATCCTCCTCAGACGAGAAATATACTTGTTTTGAGATAAGCAGCGTTTGTCTCCTTCTTCTGATAGTGCGACGCCGGTGAAGGTCAGCGGTGGTGTTTGTAATTCCTTGGTATTAAAACGTCTTGCGGTGGTAGCTGTGGACCGCTTTTTGAATTCGGCATTACCGGCCCGGAGAAAATCATCAACATAATTTCCCGATAGACCAACAAGTCGATTTCCAATTCTCTTAAAAATAGGGAAAGGTCTCCATCGGTGGCTTCCATTTTGAGATCTTTTGTGTGATGGTCTTTGCTCGTTTCTCCCCAGTAGTCTCCTGATTCTGTTAGCCCATACAAGGGCTTAATTACTTGTACTAACTCATTTGAGGACAACTGCAAAATGTCCAGCTTTATAAAAATCTTGCGTTTTAAATTCTTTGCAGCCTGTTGGTAAGCTTGGTTGACATCCGAGGACCATAGGTTGAACCCAAAAACTGCGGCAAGAGCAACCAATATTCGAACTGAGTGATGGCGTAGTGTCGTTGATGTATACATCAACGACACTACGCGTTCCGGCCTGACACCGCAATATTGAGGCTGGCGCATAACTCAACTTCTTTAATTTCTCGAGGCGTGTCCATCTAATAACAGCAGTACATGTTTGTGTTGTGACACAAACTTGTAGCATAAACACCCCCAGCGATAGGGGTTTATGCACAGTTGGACCGAGACCCTTGTCGATCGGGAAGACGGGGGTGAAGCGGGACACCAGCTAACGGCACCGGGCAGCGGGCCTGGGTAACGTGGTAGAGCGCAACGGGGAGGACGCAGGCACGCGCGAGCGATTCGACGCCTCAACGCCCCCGCGCGGTACTCGGTAACGATCCAGTACCGACGGGCGGAGGCGGAGCCGGTTCGTGGGCGTGCCGCGTGCGTTCTCAACCCACGCTCGGTGCCGCTCTAAGGTAATTAGCGAGCGTTACCTTAGAATAA